GGTAATCTTCGACTTTAAAGAATTCACTCAGTGACTCTTCAAGGTTACAATGGCACTGAAAAAAGTGACTTATGACCATTTTTCACACTTATGACTGTTGCAGCATCCCCAGGGTCATGTGATTTACATTTGGATTCTTGGCAACTGATTCATACTTATAACGGTCACAGTGTCCCAGGGTCATGTGATCACCTTTTGCAACTTTTTGACAAGCGAAGTCAATGGCCGGGAAGGCGTGGACAGCTCATCACTCAGGTTGCGGGGTGCCTGTGGGGGGTGCGGGCGGCGATGTGGGGGGTATCTGTGAGTCTCTGGTGGAGGGGGGGTGGGACAAGCTTGGGTCCCTCCGTCCCTCTCTCCCTCCCATTGTCCCTTCCTTCCTTCCCTCTTTGTCCCTTCCTTCCCTCCCTCCCTTTATCCTTTCCTCCTTCCCTCCCTCCCTCTCATTGTCCCTCCTTCCCTTTGTCCTTCCTTCCTTCTTTTCCTTCCTTCCTTCCTTCCTTCCTTCCTTCCTTCCTTCCTTCCTTCCTTCCTTCCTTCCTTCCTTCCCTCTTTATCCATTCTTTCTCTTCCCCCTCTGTGCCCAGGAAGGGACAAGGGGAGGGGGACAGGCTGCCAGTGCGGCTGATGGCTGTGCTGCCAGTGGCCATGGCTTGAAAGGCCACTGTAAATTGCTGGACAAGAGACGCACAGCGTTGACAGCATGCGCCTCAGCCTCTGCGCGTGCACAGGCAGGTTCAGCACGTTGCAGTTCGCCTTACCTGGCCGCTCCGCATGGTGAAGAGAATGCGCTGCTGCCTGCCAAAACCAGGCTGGGGTCTGGGCAGCATAGCACAGGTAACGTGGACTCTCATGCCACTCGCAGCGTCTCATCCCCTGGAGTCTACGGGTGTGTGAAGAGGGCGGGGACCATTTGCTGGTCTCCTTCAGGGGACGCCTGTTTTTCTCCCTCCCTCATTACAAATACATTCCCACTACTCTGTTCTCAATGCTGTGCGGCTCTTGTCCAGCAATTTATAGTGGCCTTTCAAGCCATGGCCACCGGCAGCACAGCCACCAGCTGCGCTGGCAGCCTGCCCCCCTCCCCTTATCCCTTCCTGGACATGGAGGGGGGGAGGGAAGAAATGGATAAAGAGGGAAGGAACAAAGGAAGGAAGGAAAGAGGAAGGGTGGGAGGTACAATGAGAGGGACAGAGCGAGGGAAGGAAGGAAGAACTCTCATGCTGCGACTTTTCCCTAGCTGCATTTCTTACCTGTTTGTTGCTGCCACCTGTGTGCAAACCCGGCCTGTTTTTTGTTCTCTTCTCTCTCACCCCTCCTCCTCCTCTTTCTTCTTTTACCTTCAGTGCAGCTCCAGCTGACTCTTCCTCCTCCTCCCAAGGCTGCGTGTTTTTTTTCCTCTCCCTCTCCAGCACAAACTGCCTTCTTTTATAGCCTCTCCTGTCTCCGCCCCCTCCTCCTCCTTTCTCTTCCAGGTGTGCCGGAAGTGCTGATCCTGGGTCCTTTGCCTCGCCCCAGCAGCTCCAGAGGACTCTCTCAAAGCAAGTCCTGCGGTGTTTTGGCTTGTTCCCTCCCCTGGTACCCTGGGCTGGGCAGGTCGGCGTACCACCTGCCACATGCCAATGTACCACAGATGGTATGCATACCACCAGTTGAAAAGCCCTGTTATAATATACAAGTCAGAAACCAGGTAGCCAAATGATGACTGGATACCTCAATGCTGACACCAGTGAGAGCACAGAACAATTTAAAGAAATAGTGCAAGACTGGAAGTTATGGAGAGATCTGGCCCCCATGAATTGCCAAGAGTCGGACACAACTGAATACATATCATCATCATAAGTCAGAGAAATGGAAAATATGAAACCACAAGTTTTTTTTAATAATACACGTAGCCATCAACTTATGACAATAATTGACAACACAATTTCCCTCACTGACGCAGTCATAAAACATGACCACATTGCTTAATGATGGCAATCCCTGTGGTCCTGGTTGCCATTGTTATCTGAATTCCAGTCATTAGGCAAAGCAACTTCCTGCCAGCTTCCCACAAGAACAAAGGTAGTGAGGCAACCAGCAGGAAGTTTCTAGGTGTACAGGAAGGTAAGTTGCTGCTGCCAGGTAGGGAGAGAGCAAGAGGGTGTGGGGACAGTCAGGAATGACATGGAAAAGACACAGTACAGATTTGGTAGGCAAGAGTGCAAGGGGATGTGTGAAAAGTGTGATGAGGATTGAGGAAGTTACATGAAAGGCACAGTGTGGATCAAGGAAGTGTGCGGGAGGTATGAGTCAAGGAAGAGGTATACAAGAACCTCAGTAAGCATTGGAGAAGGTGTGGAGAGGCACCATAGGGGGGAGGATAGAAGGTACACAGAAATGCAGTGTGATCAAAGAATAGAATAGAATAGAATAGAATAGAATAGAATAGAATAGAATAGAATAGAATAGAATAGAATAGAATAGAATAGAATAGAATAGAATAGAATAGAATAGAATAGAATAGACAGGGTTGGAAGGGACCTTGGAGGTCTTCTAGTCCAACCCCCTGCTCAGGCAGGAAACCCTATACCATTTGAGACAAATGGTTGTCCAATCTCTTCTTAAAAACTTCCAGTGTTGCAGCATTCACAACTTCTTGAGTTGTTCCACTGATTAACTGTTAATTGTTCTAACTGTCAGGAAATTTCTCCTTAGTTCTAGGTTGCTTTTCTCTTTGGTTAGTTTCCATCCATTGCTTCTTGTTCTGCCCTCAGATGCTCTGGAGAATAGCTTGACTCCTTCTTTGTGGCAGCCCCTGAGATACTGGAACACAGCTATTGTGTCACCCTTAATCCTTCTTTTCATTAAACTAGACATAACGAATTCCAGCAACGGTTCTTTATATGTATGCATGTGCAAGTGGTGGGTGTTGCACAAGCAAAGGTGCTGGGGAAGGATCACAGGTGATTGAGACATTCACTGCCAACTTCCTCACTGACTTTCTGGGGAAATCAGCAGGAAAGTTTGCTACAGGCAAGCATATGGTTGTAAAGGCAAATTAGTTATCAAGCATCCAGATCAAATCATGTGACCATGGAGTACTTCCAGGATTGGTTGTAACCACTGTTCATTCAATGTTGTAATTTGGAATGCTTACTGGCCAAATGGTTATAGATCAAGGACTATCTGTACAACAAATATACACACATACCAATTATGGTATGGTTGGGGGGAGGAGATGAATATGATTTTGGCCACAATAGCACTCAAAATAATTTCAGATAGGAGATAGGAAATAAGGAAAAAAATAAACTTAAAATAGTTTATCTCAATATTATTCACTATATCTACCTATATCTTTCTATCCTGGCAAACCATCTGTGCCCCATCATGTTTATATACCAATTCACGTACTCTCCAGATGGAATAAACATGAAATATAAATTAACAAATAAGTTGAAGAATATGAAAGTAATAAGCATACAAAAAATCCAGAGAACAATAATCTACTTCAGTATATTTTGCTGAACCTAGCCCACCTGAAAAATTGTGCAGAGATACCCAAAGGCTGCCAATCTTTGGCAGTGGTGGTATTCTTTCCAAACATGAAGCATATATAATCATTCCTTTCAACTTCTTTTACTACAGAAGCAACCATGAACAATATTGAGAAGTGTATTTACGTAACATTTGAAGGATATTTAATATTCGACACTAATGTGAACACCACTCCCATCTATTCAAAAGCACTTGTATCTAGCAGTAAATCTAGGGCATGACTGAGGATTAGATCTTCAGGATCATTGCTCTAGTAATTAGCTTCGTGGGCACAATTCTAAAGCAAAGTCTTTCAGAACGATGTTTTTTTAGGCAATCAGTAACAGTACATACATGTTTTCAGCAATACAGCACAAACTTAAAAACGATCCCATTCTGAGATGTCAGAACTTTTGTGTACTCTTTTGTTTGAGTTGCTTCAAAAACTATTTTACAATAGCTGCAAGAGGCAAAGAAAGCTTTTCCTGCATAGTTTCTTATCTCACTTTACTTGCTTTTTGGGCATGGTAGTTGGAAGTAAAGAGGCAATGGGCGACCCAGACTTCTTTGCACTCAAATATACCATTTTCTGTCCATACACTATTTTGATGAAGTAAGTAACTATATTTAATGTTTTCTTCATTTATCAGATATGTTCTATGACTGATACAGTATATTTATTTTTTTCTTCAGACTTGAGCGTTACAATTCTCCAATTTAATTCAGAATCTTCTAACATTAACATTAGAAAAATAGATATGATGTTTCTCTCCAAACATCCGTAACATGTGTACCTTTACCTTTTTAACATGAAGCAACCATGTTTTAGAATACTACGTTTAAAATTTTGTCCCTTTTTAGACAATTTCTAGATGAGGATGAAAATACTTTTACTCTCATGTAGAGATGATTCAACCCAAATCAAAACCATATCTAGTTTCTGTTAACTATCCTTCAGAATTTAATTTAAAAAATGCCCAATTACTTTCCTGTTCTTCAGGTATGATTTTATTTTTGTTTATGACAGATGGTCCTTTGCACAAGCCCAGTTTGTTCTAAAATAACATCTACAATATTTAATTCCTTTCTGTATAATTGTAACAATCTTACATGAAACCTTCAGCTTTACTCATCTACCTGCTTGTGCACTGAATGGGTAACAATTTTTTTAAAAAAGCTGGTCTTACTTCTGACAAACCTAAATTTGACTTGACTGAGTTCATTTTCCCACATCTCTGTTAATGTGCATTATTACAACACTATCTACCATTTTTTGTAAATGGTATTTGACATTTGCAATGTTCATACTGAACAGACAATTAATCAAGTGGTCTATACTCAGTCCAAAATTCAATATGTTGTCTAAAGACTGAAGCTACTGTTCTGCCTCTATCATTGACACAAGATATTAACAGTTCCAAAATAAGGAATTTATTCTAAGAAATTATTTTATTTTTTCCATTTCTGAAGGCCTTACTTACCAGTCCCTTTGCCTCTTCAGTCTTAGATTCAAATGAATCAGCTTGTTCCCTTAGACTCAAAAGGTTATTGAGTCAAGCAATGGGTAGAGTGCAGATACTGTCAGTTTTCTAGCTTCATTGTTTATCTGAAAAGCTATCAGAAGAGGGAGAAAGATCAACTTATCTGCCAAGGTCACAAAAATGTTTTTCTTAATGCTTAAACTTCTTCCTGTCATCTTAGATCTGGGACTCTCATAAATCAGTTCTGCTTTTTAAAGCCACGAATAGCCTTTCCCGACCACTGCTACAACCTATTTGATTAGAAATCCTTGCTTAAAGAAATATTTGGCTGAACTACTAAGGTTGCACTAAACTGGAAATCTAAATCAGCTGAGTCCTTGGAAAGGAGGATTAAAAAGAGGACATCCTCAATTTATAACAGGTCATTTAATGACCATTTGTAGTATTAATGGTCTCGGAAAGAATGCTCTATGGCCCATAAAGCACTTCTAGCCATTGTAAAATATTGTGCCAGCCTCCACAGGCTGCATAACCACATTTCAGGTGTTTGGCAATTTGCTCACATTTTTTTAAAAAATATTTATTTATTAAATGTATATACTATCAATCTCACAATCATGATTGATTCCTGTTAGCCATCTTCTCTCGCGGCTTTCATAGAAAGTCCATGGGGAAGCCAAAAGGGAAGGTTGCAAGCAAAGGGCATGTTGGATTTGAAGTCCATTCTTCTGATGCACTGAGGGATTTCCCTTCCCCTTCCTGCAGGAGAGGAAATCCTCCCAGGCATTGGAGGAATGGACCTCAAATTTGGCAAAAACCCTTAGTGAACGCTATCAACTGCTCCCACAATTGTACTCCCTCCCAATTACCTGGGAGGTCTGTGCCCTTTGCCCGGCATTCCACTTAATGACACAACTGGGAGAGTCAGTATTGTAATAGCTTAATATCCACTTTGCTCAGCGACCAAGATTCAAGGCCCACTTGTGGTTGTAAGTGCGGTATAGTCATAAATCTTACAAGAATAACTGCTTAATATATATTTATAGAATGCACTTACATTAATCTTTGCTGTTGTGTTTTGAGTCAACACTAGTTTTTGAACTCACTTGAAGTCATGCACTCTATAGTGTGTACCATGTAGCGCTTCAACTATCTTGTCTCTTTACATTGTAATCTCAACCATTATGTCTTACAGATAAATAACAAGAATTATTTAATTTTAAATGAAAACATTTAACATCAGATATGCTTTAGTAAAGTTCATTTTATTTTAAGTAAGCATCTGTACCTCAATGACATATCTAAATGCTCACATATAATGTAGCACACAAGAAAGTTAGCAAGAAACAATGAAGTCTACCATTCCACTCATTCTTATTTTTCACATATAACTGGTGTTTCAAAACAAAACATGCATGCACGTCGATATAGGCATGTTCAGGCACTAGGCAATTTGGTGCTGCTGTTATTACCTAAGCTTCAACTCACAGGGGACACTGGAACTAATTGTACTAGAAAGGAAAGGGCCATGTGCATTGAAATTGCCAGCAGTATTAGGGACATTCTAAGCAGCCAATTTGCATAACAACTGACCATTGTAAGTACCATGAAATATTAAGAGTTAATGATTTTTCTTTCCTTCTCCTTTGCCATCTCCTTTCCTTTTTTGCATCCTGACTCTTTACATTGTAATCTTAAATGCAAGCATTGCCTTATTTTTATTATTTGGTAATACTACTTCCATTATTCTGGGGATCTTTATATTTCATACTCAAAAGCAGGATATAAATATTTTAAATTAATGATCAATAAGGTATCTAAGACAACCAGCTTGGTATAAAAGTTAAAAGCAATGAACTAGAAACTGGGAAACTAAATTCTAACCACAAAGCCAGATAGATAACTTTGGACTCGTCACTTTCTCTCAGCCCTAGTAAAAAAAAAAGTGGCAAAATATCTCCAAAAATCATGTCAAGAAAGCTGCAAGGACTTCTGTAAGCAATCATCAGAAATTAAGACTAAATTGAAGGCACACACAAAAATAGATGTCAAAGCAAATTATGTCCCAGGGAATGGTGATTCCAAGACTATTATTTATACTTTTATTTGTAAACAAGATTGCACAGCCCTTTTAAAATAATCCAGTTGTGTTAAATACTACTACTACCAATCTCTATTTATTTATAAATTTTATTGGCCACCCATCTTACCTCTGGGTGACTTACAATCATAAAAAATAAAAACTGTATAAACTAAAAACAAAAAAAATAATTTATATACAATCCAGAACACCACAGCCCAATTAAAAAATGGGAAGGGTGGGAACAGAATGGCGGGGAGGGGGAGAGGTGGGATCCACTGTTATTCAATCAACAACATCCACTGTGATACTCCTCATTGGGGCACCAAGCTAACTGGCAGAGCCAGGTCTTTAGGCTGTTCTGGAAGGTTTGGGCCGACCTCACACTGGGGGGGGGGGGAGCAAGCCAGGTGCAATGGAAGAGAAGGCCCTGCTCCTGAATCCATCAGCTGGAATAATCAGGCTGACTGGGCCTGCAGCATACCTCCTCTGCTGGCACTGTTGGCGCAGGTCAATCCCAGTGAGATGAGAGGGTCCCTCAAGTAGCCTGAATCCATTTTATTTTATTCTAGGTCTCCATTTCACAGAGATAGTCCTATTGGGAACATAGGATTCACTTGTGGAGTAAACCACTAGAAGAGAAAAACTTTGTTACGAGCTCTGGAAGCTGAGGGATAATGAAAAATAGATTATGAAAAAGTCCTCATTCCTACAAAACAATAAGCTAAGCAGTATATGAAAATAAACTGCGAGTTCCTACCTTGTAACTTATCAACTGTGACATAAGATACAAATACCAGTACTGTAAGTGGCAATGTGTATCTACACGTCAGGAAATGATGCACAGAAATAAGAATAGAATGAAAGAGCAGAAATATACAAAGATAAAGACATATGTCAGTAAAAGAGATCATTTGGGATTCTGAAATGAGAATATATACAGAGTTGAGAGAAACAACAGATTGCCAGTTGCAATCACACAGAACCACCTATGAAGGAGAATTAGAGGGGAAAATGGCATAGGCAATCTTGTTCGGAAGCAAAAACAATGTACTACAGAATACAAAGAAAAGTAAGAATAGAAGATAGACAGAAATCCTCATGGAAAGGGGAATCTTAACTGGACAAGTAAATAAAATCCCTAATGTAATAGTTGCATTCACACATACTAATAAAGAATGTCCTCCTTGATTTAGACTTAGTATATTTTGTGAATTCAACCAACTGCAGTCAATTTAATATAACATGTTTAAAGAAATTAGGATCTGGTGTAAAATGTAAACATAAATAGGAAAGACAAAGAAGGTAAACGAGGAGTACAGAAAGACTTTTGACAGGCATTCAATAAAGGGAGAAATGTTGTTATGTGCATAAGAAAGTTAATAATAATAATAATAATAATAATAATAATAATAATAATAATAATAATAATAATAATAATAATAATAGTAAAGTTGGAAGGGACCTTGGAGGTCATCTAGTCCAACCCCCTGCTCGGGCAGGAAACCTACACCATTTCGGACAAATGGCTGTCCAGTCTCTTCTTAAAAACTTCCAGTGTTGGAGCATTTACTGCTTCTGGAGGCAAGCTGTTCCACTGATTAATTGTTCTCACTGTCAGGAAGTTTCTCCTTAGTTCTAGGTTGCTTCTCTCCTTGATGAGTTTCCACCCGTTGCTTCTTGTCCTGCCTTCAGGTGCTTTGGAAAATAGCTTAATTCCCTCTTCTTTATGGCAGCCCCTGAGATATTGGAATACTGCTATCATGTCCCCCCTTGTCCTTCTCTTTGTTAAACTAGACATACTCAATTCTAGCAACCGTTCCTTATATGTTTTAGCCTCCAGTCCCCTAATCATCTTTGTTGCTCTTCTCTGTACTCTTTCTAGAGTCTCAACATCTTTTTTACATCGTGGTGACCACGATGTAAAGTTTATTAACTTAAGTGTGATTGCAACATAATAAAGTTTATGTAATAAGTTTATTAGAATGGATTCATATCAACGCTTAAAACTAAAATTATTGGTCTTAATGATGTCAGTTGTCTAACTGACTCTGATGCAAGTATTTCATAACTAGAGACAGATGACATTGTTTATTATAATTCTGTCCCACTGCAATCAAAAAAGTTTAGGTGGCTTAAAGGCTATATAAATAAAAGTTAAAATATCCACAGTAATATTTTAAACCCATCAAAACAATCTTAACAATGACAACATCAGTCCTCACTTAATAACACGACACAAAAACAACAGAAAACATAGAATAGTTTTTAAAAAGCAGAGAGCAAGAAGACATATGCTTCCCATGAATGGGTATTTTGCTACTGTGACTATTTTAGTTCCTTAAATGTCTAAATCAGAAACAGTTCAATAAAAATTAACCCCTAATATGACATCTAATCAAGTACTATAGCCCTATAATTTACTATTTATTTATTTTAAAAAAACTTAAGCAGGAAGTGATGAATGACAGATTTATTTCATTATAAAAATATTCTGTGTACTCCTGAATTTAAAAAGAAGTGCCATTAACGTGTGCATAATCAAAACTACAACTATAGCATGAACAACAAGAGGAATTGAAGGTGCCCAAAGAAGGGCAACAGAGTCAAGGCTAAAGGTAATAGGCAAGTGGAAGTGGGAAAGAACTACCCACGTCTGTACTAGACTTTCACAACTCTAATCTTCTGCATTTCTTCTCAGTGTTCATGGTTTTTCTGATGTACCACAATATTACATCGTATAGCATCATGAAAGACTAGGCCAGAGTTAACAATCACATGTCTGACAATAAAGCCTTGAATAAAAAACTTGTAGACTCATTGTTCCCAGGATCCAATGAATATCTATGTGCAATTAACACAAAAATAATATGGAATTTCTCTAACATGCCCGACAGTCATATAAATAACTATAGATAAAATGTCCGGTGCAAGGACAGCTGGTTTGGGATATGACTGTGCCCAAGATGAAACATGCGTGCTTTGGGTATTTCAATCCATGCACAGAATGGAACAAAATTATTTTGTTCTAGGAAGATATGGCTCTAAGCAAG